ACGTTAACGTTAACGTTAACGTTAACGTTACGTTAACGTTAACGTAACGTTAACGTAACGTAACGTAACGTAACGTAAACGTAACGTAACGTAAACGTAAACGTAAACGTAAACGTAAACGTAACGTAACGTAACGTAACGAACGTAAGTAGAGAGAGAGAGAGAGAGAGAGAGAGAGAGAGAGAGAGAGAGAGAGAGTCTGCTAACTGCCCATCTGCTGGCGAACAAAATGTAGAACTCCAGAAGAGAAACTCAACATATTGCGAAGTAACTATATGACACACATCTCATGTAAAAAAATATCATTCAATGACTGAGGTCAAATATCAAAAATAAGCACAACCTCTATATTTGCCAATATTATCACCATCAGGCTGGCAGTTTATAACTGGATATTGGAGGTCGAGACTTTTAGTCAAAATGGTTTGCTCTGATAACTGAATCTAGTAGGTAGTTATAAGTTATGAGACCCTTGAAAACAGGGAAAGTCCATGAAAATTGAAGAAAATTAGAGTCTTCAAATTTGAGACATTGAAAGAAAATAGAGAAGGCAGTTATTGTCTAATCATTAAAAAAAAAAACTAACCATAGGCTGGAGGATTGGAAATTATTGCGTCTGCCTTAAAAGGAACACCAGAACTCCCATACGGCTCTCTGCATGCTGGTAACAAAGAATTTATGATTTCCTTTATTTGTTTTCTTTGGATAGGTATCTCAGAAGCTCCAGAAGGCAAGAACCCCTTATTCTTGACCATGTCTGCACATGTAAAAAAGAACGTGTCATGTCAGCTAGATCTAAACACGCGCCCACGAGCGAGTGCACACACACACACACCCAAATATTGGAGAGAGGGGAAGGAAAAAAAAATCACTCACCTGCCTTTCACAATTGTAATTGTGGGAAAATTGTGATGAAAGTAGCAGGACAATCACTTTTTTTTATCTTTTTTTTATCTTTTTTTTTCTTTTTTTAAATTATTATTTCATTGAGAATGGGTCAAAAACAGGGACATCTACATCATAGGGAAGAGGGGCCATGAGAGAGGTAAAGTGATGCTACTATAACAAGTAATCAATTTTGCAGCATACTTAATTGGATTATCCATTTCTCACTCATAGTGAACAAGAGAATATTCTCTTTTTTCAATAAGTTGGCAGACGGGGTAATTAATGACACTATAACCCGCCCCTGGTAATGAAAAAAAAAAACACACCCCCCAGATGCACCCAGTTCGAATCCCAAAGAAATTAGCTGAGTCAGGTCCTAGACCAATGACTACTTAAACATGTAAAATGTGTAATGCTGATACAGTAAACAATTTTTCCCTCTTTCCATGAGATGCAGATCTTCAGTTGAAGTATTGCATTTAAAGTATCTGTAACCTTAAGAGATAAAGAGAATATAGGACCAGATAAAAATATCTCTTTAGGAGGTTGTGAGGGAGAGGTGTGGTAAGATTGGGGAAAGAGGAACAGAGATCACATGATCTAGATAGAATAGAGGAAGACAGATTTTATATTTAGTAAATTAGAGAGATTGCATTTAAAATATTTGTAACCTTCAGAGATGAAGAGAATATAGGACCAGATAAAATACCTCTTTAGGAGGTTGTGAGAGAGATGTGTGGTACGATTGGGGAAAGAAGGAGAGAGATTACATGATCTAGATAGAATAGAGGAATAGAGATTCGATATTTAGTCAATTTTAGTTTTCAGAGAGAGAGAGAACAAGGGAAGACCAAGGTTGAGAGAGAGAGAGAGAGAGAGAGTTGAATTGGATTATGATTCTTAGAGATTTGGTCTGAGATTTTCTAGAGATTATTAGAATATTGTAGAATTGACTAAAAATATATGTTGCCAACAATTTTGCAATATCTCTCAGTCTAGCCTATATATAATCCTTGAAAACCTAGGCTATCTTGAACCCTCACTTTGTGGTCTCCCTAGGTGAACCTACCCTGAACTTTCCGTCTATAACATCGTCTTCTAGTTGAATTCCACATGTCCTACCTCGAAAACCTACACCAGCTTTAACTCTCTCTATGTGGTCTCCTTAGGTTACCTAACCTAAACTTTCTCCCATGCACACGTACACGCATGCACACGGACACACACATGCGTGTGCACGCACATGCACTCAAAAATCAACCTAAAGGAGAAGGTTAAGCTATTATAATTTCATTTGAATAATAACTGCAAAGTTCATTTTAACATTAAAAACATTAAAAAAAAAAAAAGACCAATCCAGAAAACAATTTTTTGTAGAAACCATTAATATCTCCTGATTTCATTAATTTCACAGATTACTCGAAATATAACTCCAAATTTAGCAGCTGCCTGCACAGAAAAGGGGTAAAACAAGATGATCCTATCAAATAGCATGAAAATATGAGCACCAAAGCCAAAGAAACGAACGAAGCTTCCTCCATAATTTTGAAATAAAAAAAGCCTTCCTTTTTTTGTGATCATTTTACAGCTAAAGAGTCCTGTAATCCACGATTCCACTGCCATACATGAGGGTACCTGAGGGCTGGTTCTTTGTCACACACCAAGCCCTGTGAAAGCATTTTCACACTTTCCATTTTCTGCTTATTTGTAACCTATAAGTTTGTCATTTTCCTATATTCCATGGCAAGAATGTCAATGAAATCATTTTCCTATATTCCATGGCAAGAATAGCAATGAAAACAGACAAGTGTGGATTACCCTCCTGCACTTTGTCAGCTTTCAACTTGAGAAGGTTGAGCACAATATTGCATCAAAGGGGAGTAGTGACTCTGGAAAAGGAGATAATTAAAAGGCTAGAGATAGCATGCAGGCGTTGGATGTAGACCGCAGGACGTGGGATGCCAAGAGAAACGAAGGTCCCTCTATTGGTCCTTGAAGACTCCAAAGTTTGCATACTGTATGCAGCACATCACCCATATAGTCTTCATTCATCAGCGCAACTTAATTTATGATTTTTTAATTTATAAATTTTTTTTGCCTTTAACTATACCATCCATATTCATTCTTGGAGCCTTCTTACAATCAGGGAGCATTTTTACGGCTTGATAATGTTAAGGCTAAGTTTGCCAGCACACCATTTTAGGAAACCTGATGTGTTGAGTATGGCGCTCTATTGAATAATTGGGGAATGGAGAAGCATTTTGAAGAGACTCACCATCGTAAAAGGTCTTAACAACACTTGCCTGCACCTCCTTACATTTTAATTTAATAATGACACCTTTCCAAATTCAGATTATATTACTAATAGTTTGATATAACTTATTGCTGAGTTCTTGATTAAAATGTTTTTTAGTAACACTGACGAGGCCAAAAATTTTCAACAAAAACAAAACAATATCATTCAGCCATCAGACACTTTCATGTGCATACCTTACTTTCACTAAAATGAAAGGATCAGCAAAAGCACTTACAACCCGCAAGAACTTTTGGATCTCCACCTAAAGGATAGAACTCCAAGCCAGCAGTCAAAACAAATTCCTCAAAATTTGAATGAGTCGCCAGTCTAACACGATGCCCATAAACCTGCGAAAGTAAATGTGTTAACACAATCTGCAAACTATTCTGACATAACATCTCATGGTTTCATCTTGAAGCAACAAGTGTTGTTCACAAATATTTAATACTCAATAGAGATGCAACATAAGCCACTAAAGAAATCATAATGCACACATTCCTTCCGAAATTAGATTTATTCCAGAGTCCTTGAACCGTTAAGCACACTAGCACACAAGCCCATAGGATGCAATAAACTGTAGTCAACACTGAACCATAGTCAAGACTTCAAAATATTCCACGAATATATGACAGAACCTATTTTAGGAGACCAACACCCAAAATAGAAAATATTTCAAATCGACCGAACCTAGAATGTACTGAGCAGAATTTAATAGAAAATACCACAAAAATAGAAGTACAGAACAAATTATAGAAAATGGTGTAAAACAGCCCAACGACACGGACCGTGTCACTAGGCCCAGCGACGCGACCCTCATCACTGCCGTTAAAATGGTCCAGTTTTAATCCGGATTGGTGCCTTTCCTGTTTTTGCTATAGAGCTATATTTGCCTTAGAGAAATTTATCCAGATACTCATAAGATGAACTATTTAGCATTTTGCCCAAATGCAACTATTCCAACTCATGATCATGAGTCTTTTGATGGGTAGTTTGAAATTAAATAAAAAGATTTGGCTATAATGTTAAATTGTTCCTCTCTAATGTGTATCTCGATAAACTTCCCTTTTCCTTATTAAAGGACCACTTCCCGTTCATTTTGGGGGATCTTTTGAGACTAAAAACCCTACTACCTTCCCCAAAACCCTAGCTTGTCAATCACAAACCCTAGGAGACTTCAAACCCTAGCCTTTGAAAACACAGTAGACCCTAGAGAAGAAAGCATCTTTTCTAGCCAATCAAAGCCCTAGATGTAAATTCCTGGGCACAACTCTTCCCTGGAGTTCATGAAAACTTATGGACCTGCAAATATCAAGGTGAATGAGGAAAAGACTCACATCTTTGTCTAATACAGGCCTCAACTCTGGGTGCCGCTTCCAGGTATTTTATTTCTTTTATTCTGTTGTTTATTTGTTTAATTTGTTATTTGCTTCCTCCATTTCTAAAACCCTTATAAATGATCATTCCTCTTGCTTTCCCCTCATTTCCAAAGGTTTCTATCAGTTTTACACATATCTAAGCTGGCCCTCTCAAACGCTTTGTGAAGAATAGGTATTCCAGGACTGATTTCTTCATAGATCATAATTTGACGGAACCCACTCTCAATTAATATTTTAAAATAACGAGTTTGGACACAAATCGAGATGGATAGACCTCGAGTCGATTTCCACGTCATATTTGCATGTAAACACATACTATGAAGACAAAGCAGCATAAAGAGCTATTTAGAATGGTTCCAGTTTACCGTATGATTTCTTGTTTATTTGATTCTCTATCCCAAATACAAGGGAGCTGATGAGAGAACATCATGTGGTGTTCATTCTACAGTATATAAGCACAAAAAAATTACATACTGCAACAACAATACACAATGCTCGTCACCATATGCCCAATATTCATATTACTTCAAATCAGTTGATGGAAAATGCTCGTCACCATATGCAAATAATTAGGACAAAAGGATCATTGGTCAAGGCCATCCTGACAAACACAATAAGTTTTCCATTTTTATTAGCCTTATTTACTGTTGCCATAAATACCCGATATATCAGAGCAATGTTTCCTGAGTTGAAGAACAAATAAATCATAGAGGAAATTCAATGTCTTAGGCTAATAACCTGCAAGCGTTTACCAATAGCAACGAATGGTTGTACATCTCCTTGGGTACCAACAATAAGCATCACAATCTGCAATGGCTGGATATCTTGCAGGTCGATCAACTCATCAGTTTCTTCATCCACAGCTCCAGTATGAGCTTCAGATCCATGATCAACATCATCATGTGGAAGATTTTCGGTAACTTCAAATTCTACAGTGCCGTCATTTTTCACAGTTGCCATTCTGGCCAACATTTTAAGCTGTGAATGTCAAGTTCAGAACACTGAGTTGCATGCACAAGTACACATAGAAAAGCATATGCAAATTACAATCTATCTTTTATCAAACCATAGATTAAAACTTTCTTCCTAAAAAACTAATAGGACTCTTATTCTTTCCAATGCAATTGAAAACTAACATATTGCTTACTCAAGAAAACAACCAAACATGAACTTAAAAAATAACATGCAATATAATCAAAATAAATCAAAATACGAAGGCAAATCAAACTTCTCGGGAAAATGGAATTTTTTCTTTTCTTTTTTTCTTTTCTTTTTTTCTTTTTTTCTTTTTTTTTGGGAGGGGGGAGGTTGCAGGCTGTTAATTTCAGCTATTACAGCAAGGTAGCAAACGGCTAGTAATGCACTACGGATGAGAACAACAAACAAGCAACTACAGATTTCTTTGTTGTTACTTATAATGAGATGCCACACCTTGCTGATATGAAGGAAAATAATTGTTTTTAAGCCAACTTTATTAAATGTTGCATCATATTTTTTTTTTCCAAAACAAAAAATGTTCTGTCATATCTGAAAAAGTGGAAGCTATTTGACCGATAAACGTCCCAAGAATGTTTAGCACTTAGCTCCGTGCATGTTGACTATCCTGACCACAGTGCCTTTTTTTTGGGGGGTACTTTTTATACTTTTCTCTCCCATGGTAAGACACATGCAATGCCGCAAATAAAACAAAAGAATCACAAACAAAAAATAAAAAATCATAATTATAACATTTGCAGGCGATAGCACTTTTTTTTTTTTCCAAACAAAGAGTAGCACGCTCGAACAAAGCAAATTTCCGAGCACTTTTTAACCTCGTGGAGTGTTACAAATGATGGCATTTAAGTCGATGCTCAAGTCTTAACAATAGGCCACTCATCAATAGAGAGAAATGACAATGAATGGTTTTGAAAAATAGAAACATCTGGGCATTAGTGCCCTTTGCCATATCAAGGACTGTGCCATTGGTGTAAAACTGTACAGTCTGACACTTGTAGTTTGATGGAAAGCATACTTAGGCAATATAGGAATGACCCTATGGAGAAAATGAAACTAATATTTTTTGAGTAAGAGCATGAATAACATATGTAGGGTCATGGGCATATCAATTATAAATGCTGAGAATGCATCTGCACCATCCAGTAAATGCAACTGGACATTATTTAAAACTGCAGTGCAATTACAATAATGATATCACAACTGAACTAAGAATAGAACATTACCATTGATAGTATAGTTACTGATGTGAACAACTGAATAGATATCAAGAAACGGTTGATTATGCACATAATGCATGCCTGTAAAGACATAGAATGGACCAAGGACCATGAGAGCCCCATGTGCTATTTATGCATTCCTTGTGTGTCGAATTTTAGTGTATAATGCATTAAAAAGTAGGACAGGCCTTACTCAAACTAAAAAAGAGTAGATCCACCATCTAGGTTTATTTTGAATTTCCAAACAGAAAAAAATTCATATAGCCACTTCGTGAGTCTGGAAATAAGCTTAAGAATAGTAAACACGGAATATTTGTCATGAATCCGACAAATAGTTCATTAGAAAATTATTTAATCTAGCATTTCATTTTTCAGTAGTACAAATAACATAAATCTTTAGCTGTGGTTTTCGCATTCACATATTTTGCACTGAAATTTCTAAATGTGGAATTTCAACTTTAAGTTCACCTTATGTTTTCAGGAAATATAAGAATTTCACATAAGGACCTTAATAAAAAGATAGAAATTGAGTTAAGAAAGCAAACTAATTAGATCTTCTATCCTTTATAATGAACCACATGCATTTCAAAGAGAGGTATATTGAGAGAAAGACACAACAGAATCAAAATGGCTTCAATATCATGGACCTGAGCAACAAGTGAATAGCCAATCAATAGGCTCCAATATAACTCAAAGACTACATATGGTTGTTTTTTATCATTCTACCATTAAGCCAATGGTGGAAGGTATTGAAGATGTTGAAGGAAACCGTGCAGCTGCCCCAACTCCAACGCTCCGCTAAACACCGAAAGAAGACAAGAAAGGGAACTAAGTGAGATTTATGGGAGTTTTTTCTTTTAAGTTTTGCTTCTACTAGCTAACAGATCGGTAACAGATTATGATTACTCATTGTTAATAGTTTACTTTCCATTTCAGCAAAGGGAGTTGACGACTGAAGATAATGAAGAAAAATCCAAGGGTATAGATAGTACAAGATATAGTTCAAAAGGCTAGATGATTACTAATAACAGCAAATTGGTAGTGATCATCATGTAAAGGAAGAGGGCTACATGAGCAATAGTTATGACAGTAGGAAGTCTCATAAGGGTCGTTAAAGCGCCTTACTTTTGCCTTTTTAAGATCTGTACAGGTGGTTCAAGAACTTATGCATCTGCACAGTAAACAAAACACTATACAACAATACTTGTAGCCATAAACAAGGTAAAATAAAGCTAAAACAGATATTTATCTATAATTTGAATTTATTTATTTTATTTTTTATTTTTTGTCATGTTTCCCTGTTTTCTCAAGAATGTGGTGACTTTAGGTTATAATTCCTGAATGCCAATCCACTGACTTTAGGTTATAATTCATTGACCTTTGCTCCCAGAATCAACTTTGACAAGCTTTGGTTCCACCATCTCCTGTATCAGGAAGGATTAAAGAGTGATATTGATGATATGTGTTTCTTTTTCTTGTTTTTTTCTTCTTGCCCTCTTTTTGTTTTTTTTAACTTTGTTTTCCTTTTCTTTTTTTCTTTCGTTTTTTTTTGTGTTTTTTGGTGGGGTTTTAACTATCAAACTGCTTCTCTATGTCACTCTTCAGCTCATGGCTCAACCCTCTACCAATTCGACATATCTGATTACAAGTAATATGCACTTGCTTCACAGGTCCCATTAAAACGTTATACAAATATCATGAAATTGATAGCAAAGAATGAAAATATGACTATATCTCTCTTTAGACTATGCGATTATATATTAGACTTAGCGAAATGAGTAAATTCTTTATATGATATTTACAATTTAACAAATAAAATTTTATATAACAAATTAACATCAAGATAATATTATTGAGATAACTGTTATAATTATAATTTTGTATAATATTCATTATTGTTGTGTAATTGTTATCATTATTATTATCATCATTATCATCATCATCATATAATTATGAATTCATAGTTATATAACGTAATTATAATATTTAATTAGGATTATACTTATTTGCGCAGTTGTTACAATATTTAGTGTCATTAATAGTATTTTTCACCCATGATTTTTAATTTTATAATAATTACTAATACCAATAATAATTATAATAAAAAAAATTAATTATAACGATCTAAACAATCATTAATAAAGTATGGGGGAGCACGATTGAAAATGTATACCCTCACATTTTGCCTCTTAGAGTCACAATAGATATAAAAAGTCACTCCTGATAAACGGTTGTAGCCCATATGTAAGTGAAGAGTCACCATATATAAAGGGTGTACCCATATGTACTAATAATTAATTAGTGAAGAGTCAAAATAGATATGAATAAAAGGGTGTATCCCATAAGTCATTAGTGAAGAGTCACTATTGTGACTCCTAGAATTATATGGTGGTTGTCTTTTGAGAAAGGGAAACAAAAATTATATATTGAAAATTAGGGGGACAAAATCAGAATTAAGAAGGACAAATGTCGCAAAAACAAGGGGCTCCCTTATATATCATGACAGACACTAAAATCTATCATCCAGATTTTCTGCAAATGGAGATTCTAAGCAACCCACCTTCACAAGTTCAACACATCAAAGACACGGTCCAAGTCTCGCAGTCCATGACGAAACCTGATTTTCTTTGATTTCATATGGCATAGGCTACAACACTATTGATGGCTAGGAATATGTCTGTCTGAGTTGGTTCTACCTATCAATGTTCTAATGTTATTAGATGGGCTCAAAATGAAGCATCAGTCCCTCGCCATTTGATCTTTGTTGAGATACTTAACATTTATGCATTCAAGGGAATGCACAATGTACATGTCCTTCACATTCAAAAAATGTACATGTCCTTCACATTCAAAAAATGTACATGTCCTTAGTGAGGCTAATGAGGGCACAGACTCAATAGCTAATAGTGGGCTCAAAGAAAGTATCTTTGTAGGTGTTACATACTATAGCAGAAGTTGATCCGTTAACACCCCGAGACTTTTGGTTCTTTGTTTTTCTCCATGTACGCACTAGATCATAACTCTAGCTACATACTAGATCATAAGTTGTTGTCTGGACACCCACCGTTGCTAGATCATAAGTTTTTCCAATATTACATGTAAAAGGATCCCTAGCCACCTAGAAACCCGCCTCTGAATTTTTTAACACTAACGTACAAACATATGTGCGAGGCACTCTCGTGCCGTCTCACTCGACTCAACAAAAGCTCGATCGTGGTTCTCTTTCTCCATCTCTCAAGCTAGGTCCCTCCCACCTGAACCAGGGCTGAGGCTAGGCGAGTAGGCGCGTGCTATACAGACACCAGTCAGCCTAGCTGACAGGACTACTTGACATCGGGGACGAGGTAGAAGGCATAGCAGGGACGAGGTAGAAGGCATAGCAGGTTACACAAAAACACAAGCGCGCACGTGTACACACATTCAAGTTCCTGCATGGAATTTCCTTAAGTAGGCAGCTCTTTTGCAAAGAACAACAATAAACCATATCCCCAATGCTACGCTTTTCATTGGATGATCTATACTTTGAGATCTTGGTTTACATTTATCCCAAGGTTTCAAACGGAAAGGTCATGGTGGAGTCCTAAAAACAAGAATCCACAAAAACCACATGACCTTGTCTCCTACATGGCAGAGTTTAAACCCACACAAACGTCCTAAAACCATGACCTTAATCCAAAAAAATGGTTTTCCAACTATGATCTGAACATAGTAGTGAGCTTTTATACTATAATAGATTTCAGCAAGTGCATGCAATTAGCACATGAAAACTATGACATTGAATTTCTTATCATTCTCTCCAATTGGCTTCACATTGGGCTCCATATGCAGAATATTTACTATGTTGTATCAAAGTGAGATTCTAGGCTACGAGGAAATATATCTAGGTTCTAGAAACTTAACTGCAGAATTTATTAAAAATTTCCCACATGAATGTCAACTAACGCATCATCCATCAGTTTGTTACTTTCTGGAGGAAAACATTTACCACCTACACATACACCACTTAGTGGTTCAAATTCGTTCTACCAGAAAGCATCATGGTGTCCTAACCAGAACTCAGCATAAGCAAATGTTAAAAGAAGTTCAGTAAATACAAAGGCTTCATGAGAAAGGTGGAAAATGACATAAAGCATGTAACAAGAAATGTAAATTGGAAAAGCATTACATAACAGAACAAATAGCATACAAGAGCACAGAAGAATTACAAACCTGCTTTTTTGCAGGGATCTTTGGATCAAATATTTGAGCGTTTTGATCACCACAAGCAGTACAATGTCTCCGTCTCTCACTCTTAGATCTTGTCTGCTCCTCAGGCAACTCAGCCTGTGCACCAGATGTTGACTCACCAAGCATAGTTTTTGCTCTCAACAAACTGCAGTCTGACATTCAAAACAGGAAAAGTACAATGCTTACTTAAACCATGTAATGCGAAAATGTAAGTCAACTTGTTCTTGAAAACTTTTATATATGACTAAGTAATGCTCGACAACACCAGATCGTTCATTCATCGCTAATAGAAACAAAATTCAAAGAAAACAAGAAAGTGTATATTACATCATTGTATTACCATTATATATACAATGAAATAACCACCACAAGAAGTGTGGGGCATAATTATTTTCTCAAATAGTTTCTCTCTCTCTCTAAAAATTTCTATATGGCATCAGAGAAAATATCTATCTTCTCAACCCTCCACCTTGAGGCCGTTCCTCTACCCTTAAGCCATTGCTGCTTGGGATGCAATCCATAAAGCACAGTCTATTGAGGATAAATTCAAAGGGATATTGATTGAAACAATCACATTGTGCCTTCATCTCTAAAGGTTAGTCGCTGCTCTCACCTAGCTTGTGTCTTCAAGTCTCTCAATTACTAATCCATTCCACTCATACCATCTCATGCCATCCATCCCATCCAAACCCCTAATATCTAACCCATACTCTCTTATTTAATTCAAACTCATCACCTTTTCTTTCTTTCTTTCTTTTTTGGTGTTGTTTGCTAAGCCTTTTCCTCTCACGCCCCAATTTCTCCTTATTAAATCCATCTTTCCTTAAACCTTCCTAAAACTCCATCTTAATACCCATCACCTAAGTTTTTCCTTTACTCTATCTTAACAACCCCCACACAGCTATACGGACTCCTCCAAACCTCTTGCAAAGTCTTTCTATGTTTCTCTCTTTTGCAAAGCATTATCCCCTAGCCGTCCTCCATCTCATGACCTCCCACTATTTTCAATCATTTAACCCTCACGTCCTCTTCGACAAGTAATCAAGCCCTCGCATCTTCTTCCGTTCAAGCACACTCTCTCTCTCTACAAAAAAAAAAAACCATCCATATATCTCCGGATTCCACCTTTGCTCAAATGGATATCTCATCCACAATATCCAAGTATCCATATCCCTCCACTCTTAATGTGGGAAACTTTGTGTCTATTAAGTTGACACAGAACAACTATTTATTATGGGAAACTCAAATGCTCTCTCTCATTGAGAGTTAGGAACTTTTTGGATTCATTAATGGTGTTTGCCCTACACCAACTCAAAACATTTGCTCTCCTGATGGTAAGAGTGACATCAAAAACCCAGATTACAAATCATAGCTAAAGTCTGACCGGCTTCTTAAAGCCTGGATCACAAAAACATTGGCAGAAGAATGTCTCAGCCTTGTTATTGGCCTTAAGACTTTTACAAATAATTGGAAATGCCTGAAGAATGCCTATGTAGGTATTTCTCAAGCTAGGGAGTTCCAACTTACCCAGCAACTCCAACTCTGCAAGAAAGGGAATTCAACCCTATCAAAATACATACACAAATTCAAAAGTATTTGTGATGATTTGGCGGCTATTGGAAAACCTGTACCATATGAAAGTAAGGTTTTTTGGCTCCTTAATGGACTTGGTTCAAAATACGAGTTTTTCTACCATTAGGTTTAAGCCTCTGATTCCTTCATATTCTGAAATCATACCTCTTCTTCAAAGCCATGAGATTAGAAATCAACCCTATGTCTGTGAAGAACACTCAGATCCAAATCAAAATATGGCCTTTATTGGACAACAAAAAATTTTTGGACCCCAAAGAGGTAACCCAAATTACAGAGGTAGAGGGATGAACAACTTTGGTGGTTGACATTTCTTCAATTCTCGAGGACGTGGATTTGCTCACACTAGCCAGATCAGTAATGTGGGTTGTAGGGTACCCCAGAAAAATCAAGAAAGTGGTAGTACACTTTCTATGCGATACATGGATCAAGGCTTCCAACAAGATTTCCAAATACAACAGCCAGCTCAAACACCTCGAAAAAATTGTCAAATTTGAGGGAAACTTAGACATACTGCATTGAAGTGCCGGCATCGATTCAACCACACATACCAAGCAAAAGATATTCCTCAGGCCCTTGCTGCAATGACTATAGCTGATTTACCAGACTCATAATGGTTCCCAGACACAGGTGCCTCGACTCATATGACAGGAGATCCAGGTAAGTTGCAAAATCTTCGTCCCTATAGAGGCACAGATAGAGTTATGGTTGGGAATGGTGAACAATTAATTATTTCACATGTCAATGATACAAATATTGCCATTGAGCTTAGAAAATTCAATGTTTCTAATGTTCTTTTGGTGCCTAAAATGAAAAAGAAATTTATTTGTTAGTCAATTTACGACAGATTTTCCTTGTATTTTTGAGTTCTCATCAAATAGTTTTCTGATTAAGGAAATGAGCATAGGAAGAACTCTGGCCAGCGGAAGTAGAAAGGGAAGACTATATGTACTTTAGGAAGTGAAACAACCTTTATTTTTTAATAGGAATAAAAGAACATCGAAAGAAGTGTGGCATCAACGTCTTGGACATCCTCAAAATAAAGTTATTCGTTACTTAGAATCTAAACAGTTGATTAATATTGATGCATGGAAAAAATCTCATTCTTTTTGTGCTAGTTTTTAGATGGAAAAATGTTGTAAGCTTCCTTTCAGTGGTGTTAATGAAACCTCTACTGAACCTCTATTTAAGATTCATTCAAATTTATGGAGCCCTGCTCCAATTTTGTCTAATTAGAGTTATCGATTTTATGCGATAGTTATTGATGATTATACTTGTTTTACTTAGATTTATCCTTTGAAACGGAAAATCTGAATTGTTCGCTGCATATATGAAATGTCATCGTATGGTTGAAAGGAGGTTTGATAAAAGAATTTGAGTTTTTCAATGTGATGGAGGTGGTGAATTTGCTAAAAAAGAATTTATTACTCATCTCAGTGACAATAGAATCATGAGACAACTTTCATGTCCAGGAACCCTTGAGCAAAAAGGAATAGCTGAAAGGAAACATAAAAATATTGTAGAATTGGGCCTTACAATGATGTTTCATGGAATTCCTAAAAGTGTTTGGGTTGAAGCCTTTCATACTGCAGTATTTGTGATCAATAGAATTCCCTCCAATTTGAAAATGGATTCCCCATACTCATTATTGTTTGGACGCTTACTAGACTACTCCTCACTTCGAGTATTTAGTAGTCGGTGTTTTCAATATCTTGACTATGCTACAAACAAATTTAGTACCCATTCGCTTCCATGTGTATTCTGCGGCTATAGTATCCAGCATAAGAGCTACATATGTCTACATCCACCCACAGAACAAGTCTATATCTCTAGACATGTTGTATTTGATGAAAATATATATCCTTAGACTAACCCCAACTCTTTGTTTGATAGTACTCAAGTTCAGGGGGAGCTGTCCACATATATAGAATGGTCAATGTGTTATCAGCCAGACATACTGAGTCCTTCCTCTTCTGATTCATCACCTCCACATGAACCACCCATACAGGACGCCCTTGATGTATTTGGTCCCTCCGGTCCTTCTTTGCTTATCACCGATGATAGCTCTCTAACTTCTCTTATAGAGGAAGATGTCACCACTGCAAAACCAATCCAAGATGTCCAGGATGAAGCAACACACAATCATGGTGATGAAAATGTTGCCATTCAAGAAACCAACCAATCTAATTTTTTACCAGCCTCTAAGCATCCTCACCATCACATGGTCACAAGATCTCAAGATGGTACTCAAAGACCTCGGGTTCAGGTTCTCCCATCCATGGCAGTAATCTCAAGTGCTCATACTTTTGAAGCTATCCGTTCTGAACCTAAAACCATTAAGTCTGCCTTGGGTCATCCAGGTTGGCATCATGCAATGGAAGAGAAAATTGAAGCCCTACATGTTAACTCAACTTGGGAGCTAGTTCCACCTCTTCTAGGTACGAATATTGTTGGTTGTCATTGGGTCTATAAGACTAAATTAAAGTCTAATGGTAGTCTAGAGAGTCTTAAGGCCATACTAGTTGCTAAAAGGATACAATCAGGTTGTTGGAATTAATTTCTCTGAAACATTCAGTCCTGTTATTAAGCCTGCTAGTATTCGGATTGTGCTCAGCATAGCTATTGTGCGCCACTGGCCTATCAAACAGCTTGATGTGAAAAATGTTTCCCTGCATGGCTTTCTTAAGGAACCTGTATTTATGGAACAAACTCCAGGATTTGTAAGCTAAAAATATCCAAATCATGTCTGCAAATTAAAAAGAGTTTTATATTGTCTCAAGCAAGCACCACAAGCCTGGTTTGATCGATTTAGTGCCTAATTATTATCATTGGGGTTTTATTGTAGCATAGCCGATTCATATCGATTTGTTTATCGCACTACTCAAGACACTATTATCCTTCTCCTTTATGTTGATGGTATTATTGTTACTGGTGATAATTCAGATCTTTTATAATGGTTCATTTCCCAACTTGGAAGGGACTTTGCTATGAAAGATCTTGGACCTCTTCGCTACTTTCTTAGCATAGGGGTATCTTATTTTTCAGGCGGACTTTTTCTATCGCAAAGCAAATTTGCCCAAGATCTTCTTGATCGCGCTCAGATGCTCGGTGCCAAACCTATTTCAACACCAATGGCAATGAAGAATAATATTCATGAGAATTTTGATCCATTCCTTGATCCATCCCTTTATCGGAGTATTGTTGGTGCACTTCAATACATTACCATAACACAACATGGCCTGACCTTTGTCATAGTGTTAATACAGTGTGTCAGTTTATGCATGCCCCTAGAATTGCACATTTTCAGACAGTGAAGTGGATTCTTCGTTATCTCAGTGGTACACAGTCATGCGGTATAAGAATATTATCTTATAGTTATACCGTCATGCGGTATAAGAATCTCATTTGATAGTTCCCTTGAGGTATATGTTTTCTCTGATGCAGACTGGGCTGGGTATCTAAACACTCGCCATTCAACCACTGGTTTCTGCACTTATCTTGATTCCAACTGCATATCTTGGAGTGCTAAGAAACAATCGACTGTGGCTCATTCAAGTGTTGAAGCGGAATACCAACCTATGGCATCCACTGCTGCATAATTGACATGGCTTTCTTTTATTTTTCGAGATCTTTGCTTCAGACTCAGGTGTCAAATGCCTCCTCAGCCGAGTTTGAGGGGGAGTAATAGAAACAAAATTCAAAGAAAATAGGAAAGTGTATTGCTCTTTCCTTTGAGAGGTGAATGTAACAAAATAGGAAGGCGTATATTGCATGTAACAATGGAGGAAAATTGTCTATCACATCATTGTATTACCAGTATATAGACAATGAAAGAACCACCACAAGAAGTGTGGAGCATAATTATTTTCTCCAGGAATTCCTCTCTCTAAAAATTTCTTTAATTGCGACATTCCAAATTCGGAAAAGGAACTTTTTATGTATTATACTGCCATGGTTGATTGCTAGTAGCAACAAAACCAACTATATTTGAGCTCTAATATTAAAAAAAAGATATTGTGAGCAACATATAAAGGAAAAGATATATCAGATAAATGTTAATAACCTTAAGTTTCAGTTTATTTTATCAGTTATATTGATTGGTATTCCAACTTCAAAATGAATCATTAAAAATGGCAGATTCAGACAAGTAAAGGTCAAACACTGTAGATCACTACCCATTTGGTGATAAAGATAAGGACCAGATAATAAATATGTATATTCTCACTAAATCACTGGGTCAAGGTTGTTTGAGTGGAGGATGGTGAACATTTGAGGCCATAAAGAAATCATTGGCTTTATGCTGCAAACAACCTTTAATGGCTACAAGACAGATCCAGACCAATAAAATAATTAAGATGTCAAAGATCTTCCATCTAAATTGATGATGAAGAAGCTTCTTACTAAGGTACGAATTCCATTGGCAGTAACAATCATATCATCCACAGAGTAAAAGAGTCATATTAATAGAGGCACACAATAGAAAACGGGGGCAGAGTCGAGAGAACTCCTATAATACCCCAAATGATCACATTGCAATGCTATTGCTAAGCTGGCAAAAGCTTGATTGAGCCCACAAAAGAGTATTATGGAGCCGACACATAGTAGGAAAGATGGGATGTAAACTCTCTTTATTTGTTTCATCTAAACTTCTTTCAAATTTCCATAGAAGATGACGTCAGAACACCCATTTAACATGATGGTCATTCATCTAACAAAGCAATGGGAAACAAGACAAATCATGGAGACTTCGAACTACAGAGATGGACTTTGCATCTTAACCAAGACAATAAGCCTTCAGAAAACCTCACGCAAATTACAGCCAAAGTTGTCACTTCCACTACTAGACAGCATATTCATATTATAATGTAGACCATGCAAATCTCCTCTCTATAAATGGTTAAATATTTATGCCACACTGTCCTTGAGTCTCGTCTTATTTTGTGGATGACCAATGGCTTCTATGAATACATGCTTACTTCACACAGAGCGGGGTGCAACAAACTTTGTCCACGTCGACTGCCAAAGCAGTGCGCAGGCCTGCAGTGCTTCTCTTACATATGCAATAAATGTAGAAGGTGGAACATTGATTGTTACCTCGTCCTTGGAACTCTCAGAGGAACAAGACACGGCTTCAATGGATAAATATTTTTCTTCACAAAAGTCAGTGTGCCAAAGCACAGTGCAGGGTTTTCTTTCATTTCAAATGAGATAGTAGATAAACTCAGATGGGAACCCTCTCTGGATTCAGGACTCTGCAGGTCCTCCACAGCAATCTCCTTCCAATGCTCCCACACTCCTTTCTTTTCCTATTCAGTCTCCCATGGCATGGATTGTTCATTTGTCTAGTCAAAATTCTCGTAAGTTAAGTTTCACCAGTAATAACCTCCCCTGTTTAGTCTTTTGCCTCAACTCATAGTTTTAATGTTCCTTGGTCATTTTTAATGCAACTTCACGTGCCCCAACCAAATATGTTATTACCAAAACATAAAAGATAAATAAATAAAAAAATGACAAAAATGGTATGGATTGAAAAGACGAAGGTGAGATTTAGCAATGGATCTTATCGAAGTTGATGTCCCAAAAGCAACTGGTTCATTCATTAATAAAATTGCACCAAACTTACTGAACTACTAAAGCCTGTTGTCAGTTCATTACTGATAAGGGTCACATAAAGATACATCTGTACATCAAATTCCCGCAAGAATATATCATTGCCCCCTTAGTGAAAGCCATAAAAATGGGCCAACACTTCAAGTTTAGTGAAATGGTAACTTATTCATTTAAAGGGCCTGTATGACAGGCAGCATTTTTCTTTTTAATTAATTATATAATGAGGATTTTTAAAAATGAGTTCACCTAACTTGTGGGTTTCGTAAACAGTACCGTAATCATTTTTCTTTTTTGTATACTGATCCATTCAAAGGATACTTTAGCAGTCTGCCTCTTTGCATTCGCAAATTAAGACCCGTGTTGATACATCAACTATTTTTCTCATCATTTTTTTATCTTTTGGACATCAAGTTACCTCTTTTTTTTCTTTTTTGCTACTGACTATATGTAGGTGAAAGCATAAGGGTCCAGAACCAATATGAAGTACACAGTAGGGAAAAGCATAAAGGGTCCAGAACCAATACACAATAGAAACACAAGCACTTAATAAACAATGGAACCTCATTCGCGGAAAGCAAAAAAAAATAAGGGAAAATCTCAGGGAATAAATATAAATGCGGCTACAGGAAACTAGAAGACAACCAAAAATTAGCATTCAGGATTATTTTCATTACCAAATCCAGCAAATAATAAATGAACCAAGCAAGCCAATGAATAAATCCACAAAGAATGCCTCATAATCAACCAATTCAACTGAATAACTAATTCAAACTTGCACGCCAATAACATAAAAAACTAACCAGAAACATTTTTCCCAGACTCACTAGAGCTTCCTTCCTTTTGCAATTCATCTCCAATTCCACACGTTTCACGTCCTACCATAGAGTTACTCAAATCCTCCACCAAAACACAATCGCTCTCAGTATCACTAGGGGGAAAAATCGCAAATTTCTGGACTTTAACTGAATCAGGCAAACCAGCTGCTCGGTCCACGCAAGAAACTGCACCTTCCTGCTCTAAAACTGCCTCAGAATCGAATCTCTCTATGCCAATTTCACCATTATTTTCCAGATCCGAGTTCTCTAAGGCCCTGTCGCCATGGTCATGTTTGGAGGAAGCAGGAGGGTCAGGGTTGGTGCCCGGCTCATCACTAGGCATCAGAGGGGGGGCGGGGCTAGCAAGGGGCTGATGCCCTAGAATTTCGGTTTTGGAGCCGTTCATTTCTGCAATTTTTCGGTCAGGTCATCGTATAAATGAGAAAGGGGGTCACTTCAAAGATAGAGAGAGAGAGAGAGAGAGAGAGAGAGAGAGATGGATAAAGAGAGAGGTAAGTTTCCTACACAGTAGAAATTGCAGAGAGAGAGAGAGACGAAAGTTAGAGAGAGAGGACAGGAAGCTAAGAGAGCGGTTTTCTTTAAGAGAGAACGGAGAGTCGGAAAACGAAAGACTTTTCCGGTGGGGAAGGTTAGAGAGAGATTAAGAGAAGCTTGCTGAAGAGAGAGAGAAGGGATGGAGACGCTTAAGAGGGAGAGGTGTGCTTTGGGAGAGAAAGAGGAAGGGGGTAGTGTGTTTTTTTAGAGAGAGAAAGTAGAGAGAGACGGAGAGAGGTGGGAATTGAATTTGTTTGTATTATGCAGAGGGAGGGGTGGGTTCAGAGGGAGGGAGGTAGGAGGGAACGGCGTGCATCGTAAGTTTGTAACTGCAGGCAGCAACAAGTGTCCGTGCGTGTCTCTTCTTTCTCGGCGATCTACGGCCCGGTTTTGCTGGCCCACTAACTCAGACGTACTCTTTGCCTAAATATGGCAAGAGGAGTGAGAGCATTGGACAGTAGAACACTTCGCCTAAATATAGGAAGAGAGAGGGGGGAGCCTTCTTAGAGAGAGTGTGATAAATTGTATGCGACATTACTTAGAAAAATACCCCAAAATTACACATGCAATTACCCCCCAACATCATTTTTTCTCACACTCTTTTCTCTATAAATATGTAACTACTTTTTTTTACTTTTACTTTACCCACGTCTCTCTCCACTATCCGACCGAAATAAGGGGCTCAGCCACTATGTAAGTGCGGTCCTAGCGCTCCGCACTGTGTAAAACTCGGTCCGACGGTAAAGCTCTGGTACTATGTGAAGTACGGTTCGACAGTAGTGCTCCAGTACAGTGTAACGTGCGGTCCGGCAATTGAATAGGGTGGTCTTGTATTTGTGCACTTCAGCAATGTGATGGTGCGCTCCGGCAATGTGCTATTAGAGTCCAAAAGCCAACGTCAAATTTGTCCACAATGATTTTTGTGTACGGGAATGGCATTTCCATCGAAAGATATGAACTTTTTCCCTTATTTGTATAGAACACTGGTTTTGGGAAAAAAAAAATGAGAGGAGAAATTAGGTTGGGGTAAGTTGCATAGAAAGTGTGGTTTTGGGAGTTCTTTTTAATTTTTTCTAAATGCTATGATCCCTGAGATAAAGAAGGAAGCCCCATTTTCAAAATTTTCATATGCTTATAGATGTACTTATTTTGAGTTTAGAATTTTATAATTAAATATAAAAATAGATTTTAAAATAATTTTTAAAAAAAATTACACCAAAATTACATATTATAATGCAATTTGAATGTGCGCCTTAATTGGATTGCTTAAAGTTGCAACCTTATAAATACCACACCCTTTAATAAATATTAACTTTGTATTTTGCAATTAGCATTTCTCCCAAGGGAGACACGTTAGAGAATTTTCAGAAGTTATTCCCGTATTCATGGTTGGATAATTTTTTTTTTAAAAAAAATTATATACTACATGCATGTTTTTTTGTCTGATATTTTTATTTCAAGTTGACCCTTAATGCCGGAAATTGAATATCCAAAGCCACATTTTGAACTTTCATTATCTTTAGTTGTACTTTTTTAACTTATTCAAATAAATCCACTTCTGATATTGAAAATGCAGTCACTCTTGACTTCGATTTTTTAATATCCAAAACTACATTCTAATTAAGACTTTTATGCAAACATCCAAAGTCACATTCAATATCTTTAGTTGTGCTTTTTTAACTTATTCAAATAAATCCACTGACATTGGAAATCCAGTCGCTCCTAACTTCGATTTTTTAATATCCAAAACTACATTCTAATTAAGACTTGTATGCAACTTTGAATATTTAAAATTTGAAGTCAATAATAATTTCAAGTTTTCAAGGTCAGCATTATCATCACATTATTTTTTCAATTATTTGAAGTTGGATACACAAATCCCGGAATGTCGTTTTGCTCTATTAAGGGCCACCTTGTAAGGCCATAAATCTTTATATTTTATCTCACTACTACCAACTATGTCATTTTGGCTTTAGCTCTTGCCTTTTTTGAGCTTTCTACTGGAACCAACTTGCACTTCTTAACAAGTATTGTACTGGGTCTCCGTTATATATGACCAGCTCACTTAAGTCTATCTTCTCTCATCTTATGATATATTGGAGCCACATCTAAGTTCTCTCGAATATGTTTATTTTGATTTATATCTTCTCTTACCTTGCTACTCATACATGTCAATATCCTCATCTCAGCTATACTCATCCTATGAATAAGTTATTTCTTGACCGTCCAACATTTTATCCCATGAAGCAAAGCTAGGTATACTCATCCTATGGGTATGAATTTTTTTTTTACTTTTTTTTGTTCCCAGTTTACTGTATAGATTATTATATACTTTAAATTTAGCCTTACGTACTATTTGTTCAGTGTTTTTTTAGCATTTTATATTCTACTAAGTTTTGATCATATCTATTACGTTGGTAAGTTTTACGATGATCGTTTTCCGTAAATAGCCTTTTGTTATGAGTTTTAATATTTAAGTTTTATGAAGATGGTTTACACTTTGCTTCAAGAGCACTCAATCATTTTTTCCCTTGGTTTTCTCAAAACGTCCAAAATGGTCTTGTTCTTGGTAATATTGAAATTTTTGGAAAACTTGTTCTACTTTTTCGTACTTGGAAAGCTAATAAAGGTCTCGCATATTTTCTATATATGCTAAAATCACATATTTTCATGTTACTTTCATTCTCAAACTTGTTCCCGTTTGAACATTGATGTCCAAACTATAGCCGTTTTTTTTTTGTTAAGCTAAAAACTGGTTCAAACATTTAATGTCCGAATAGTGGGACATTTTAGTGCGAGGCAAGTTTTGTCGCTCAATTTATAAACCCTCCCCAACTCTTTTTTAATTAGGAGATTGGTTGGGATATTGGATTCTAAACTCGTAGTCCCCTTAAAAAACATGAGTAATAAGGTTCGAACATTTGATATCCAAATCCACTATTATAAGTTGGAATATTTTTAGGACATGAAAATTCCGGGATGTGGAGGCTTAACTTAAGTGACATTTAAGAGACTAAGAAGTCATAATTATTATTATTTTTTTCTAAAAATAATCGTATGAATAAGATTATTCTTAGGTGGAATACAAATTTTGAAATCAAAAGAACCTTTCCTAACTAGCTCTTTCATGAATTGGTACAAATGTCTAATATCTAAACTGACCCACTTTGTTTTTTAAATAAGGTATAGGTTTGGACATCTACTTTGTTTTTAAATATTTTGGACATTTAAAGTCCAAGCTTGTCTCCCACTAAAATTGAATTTGCATCTCCTTTAAAAAAAAATTTGGGACTCGCCGTTGGAAACAACTATTTAATAAGGGAAATGCCCTAAGGTGAAGGAGACAGCATTCAAGGCTGCTCCTGTCCTAAGAAAAACTTATCTTTATTAAATTTAAGATGGTTATCTATCTTTTTTCTTTTTCCTTTTTTTTAAGCATTACTATTGTTCTCCATTTCATATATCAATTCAAAAGTCTCTCTACTTGCCCTTCTCCTCTCTCACTCTCTTTGTGTAGAGAGACAAGTGGGGGGACATGCTTTTCGGTTTTTGCTTTCCATCACACTTTGAACAGATGCAAGGCAATCAATAAGCAGATTCTCTAGGTTTGCTTCGTGCCTTTGCTAGAGAGACATGGAAAAGGAAAAAAAAAAGAATATAACATAAAATAAAGAAAAGAGGTCCTCCAAGACTCATTTCAATAGAGAAAGGTCCCCCCTATTTGCAAGCCATCCCTTCAAAATGCATGTGGAGAGAGAGTAAAGCTTGGGAATCTGGTTGTACAAAACCTGTCACATAGTTGTAGACCTACACGCAAAAAGAAGGCCCTTTGATCTCACTCATATACAACCTGTCACACATTTGTCGTCCTGCACTCCTAGGAAGGTTGGTTTTAACGAATAGAAAAACTTATGGTCATGGCTGAAAGTAAAGTATTTTAGATTTTTTGTTTTTTAGCTTTAACTTTTATTTATGCCTATTTTTTTTATATTTTCCCAAAATGCCCATAATTCAGAGTGTTTAAGGTCTGAACTCTGAAGTGATAAAACAGTCCTTGGCTTCGGATTTGAAAACTCAAAAGGAAAGAGTAACTTTAAAAGAATATGGACCCGGTTTCTATGCGGCCAAGCCCACATATGTGGAAATGCGAGCCTCTTAATAAATTTATTTTTGAGATGGATTTTAAGACTTAAATTTTAAAGAAATGTAATATTTAACATGGAGAACATGAATATGAATAAATAAATAAATTTCAAAATCTAAAAATAATAATTATGGTAAGAAAATATTTGGACCGTTAGTTTCCACTGATTTTAGATGGAACACCTACTTGCATCCATTTTTAAGATGGATGCTTTACACTTTGTGGACCGCATATGTAGAAATGCGGTTCAGCCCGCATGAAACAATTTTCCAAAGAATATTGAGAAAGTGTCAACTTCAAAATTTCAAGGTTCAAAGTCAAAGCTTGTCAAAATGATTTTTGACCTTCAAGATGGAGAATCATTTCGACCAATGTTTGAGTAGTCGAGCCAGCCAACTTGGACTTACCCGACGATCCCCGAGTAGGGTGTCCAACTCTATCTAAACAATAATAAATTTATTTTACAATAAATTCTAAAAAAATTTAAAATAAGAAATTTATTTACAATATGTTTTTTATGTTTTCTATCTTTCTAGCAAATATTGCAAAGTTGTTTTGGCTATGAATACTTATTGTTACATTTTCAAAAAAAAAAAATACTTATTGTTACATTTTCTCTTCTTTTTAATTATTTCTAAAATACCCTTGGTCATAAAATTGATTTTTTCAAAATCTATTTTTTCTCTACTTTCTTAACCGCATGTAGGTGTTTTTTTTTTGTGATTTTATTTTAAACATTTTTTATATATTTTGGGATTGTTTTTATTTTTTAATATTTCTTTAATTTGCCAAAACTCAGCCCAACTTCAAGCTAAGTTAGTCAGACTTGAGCCGAGTGGCACATTCCAACACTAATTTCAACAAAATTTGACTTCAGAACATGAAGGTCCCAATTAAAAAATTAAGGAGAGATAAATTAGGACCTTAAAAATTCAAGATGATTTTGACAAAACTAAATTCCGAAATATGAAGGTCCAAAGTCCCAGTAAACAAATTTATTTCTATTACCCGAAAATCTTTGCCACTTCAAGACCATAAGGTCCAAAGGAGTATAAATTAATGTAAAAGAGCAAAGCAGTTTTGATATTAAGAGAATTGTGCAGTTTATAAATTAATGTAAAGGAGCAAAATAGCTTTGATATTAAAAGAATGGTGCGGTTTATAAATTAATGTAAAAGAGCAAATCAGTTTTGATATTAAAAGAAGAGCAAAGCAATTGTAAGAAGGTTCATGGTCATGCAAGGGTGCTCATGTTCCTTTACA